CCCTCGTCAGCCCAAAGAGCAATCAGGGTTCCCTGCCCTGTGGGAAGTTCAAGGACCACCCACCTCCAGCTTGTCTGAAGATCAGAACACAAAAAAAGCCACACTAGTCAGCCATATAGGCTAGGCAGTGGTGGAACACACCTTCCCAGCAGCCACACTAGCCAGCCATATAGGCCAGGCAGTGGTGGAACACACCTTCCCAGCAGCCACACTAGCCAGCCATATAGGCAGGCAGTGGTGGAACACACCTTCCCAGCAGATACACTAGCCAGCCATAAAGGCAGGCAGTGGTGGAACACACCTTCCCAGCAGCCACACGAGTTAGCTATAGAGGCCACGCAATGGTGGTGCACACCTTTAATCTCAGCACTAGAGAGAAATATAAACTGGGACTCACTTTCTTTCAGTCTGAAGATTTCTTGGAGATAAGAGCTCTCTAGTGGCTTGGCTACTTTGCTTTTCTGATCTTCAGATTGAACCCCAATATGTCTCAGGGTTTTTATTATTCATGCTACAGACCATACCCTTTGTAAGGGGACTTGGAGGATGTCAAGTTATTCAATTCAATATTTTAGAAATCATAGTACAAATAAAGTTTAGTTACTGTTTCAATAATTTAGAAGGAAAAGGGGTGCAGGGAAAGCAGGAAAATAGACATATCTCCCTCTGAAATGAATGGCAATTTCATCTTCAGTTTACAAGATCTCCCCCTAAGGATGTCAGGATTACCCTATGATCACTAGCAAATTTGAAGAAGTGGAAGAATGCAGAGAGAAGACTCAATCTGAAAGTGAGTCTGATGACCAACCCCACCTACTGCTGTGGGAGAGGGAGGCCAGGAAAAGACCTTTTGTCCACAGTTGCCACACCAGTAATGTGTGCTAAGGTAGCATGATTAATCCTCATTACCCTGTTTAAGATACAGAAAGGCTCAAAGCATAAAATGCCAATTCATGATCTAGGTCACATAGCCACCTGGCACCAAAGGGAACTACTCTGTCTGCTGCTCTCAGAGGCCTCCTAGTCAGTGCTAGCTGAAGCTCTGGCCCCAAGGAGCAGCAGTGTCTTAAGTGAAGGCAAGCTTGACATGGCCCAGCTCTCCTCTCTCACCGGCCTCTTCTTCAGGCAAGGACACAATGCACTGAGAAGGGCAGGTGCATGCAGCAGCATCAACAGCAGCATATCCTTGTTTAAGTCACTGGGTGATAGGACCCGGTTCCCACTTGTGAGGGGGACACTGCCTCTCCCATTTCTATGAACAGAATGTATTTACACAACCCAACAGCTTTTCACAGAATGGACTTAAGAGGTGAGTCTGGGACCTAAGAGGGAGTAGGCCTGAACCAGGACCTCTGCAGGTCCGGGCATTGGTCTGGGACATCAAAGGGAATAGGCAGGAACCTGAAACCACTGTGGGTCCGAGAGTGAGTCTAGGACCTCTGAGGGAGTAAGCCTGAGCCAGGTCCTCAGTGGTTTCTGGGTACACCCAAACCTGGGAACTCTGAGGCAGTAGACCTGAGCTAGAGACCTCTGCAGGACCAACTCCATGCCAGGGACTTCTCCAAAAGGGGATCCAGACCGAGATTTACAGATAAAGGGCAAAGCTGGTAACCTAGGCCAAAGTAGACCTGAGACAGCAAACTCAAAGCGAGCAGAGCAAAGCACAGGAGCGCTGAACTATCTCTAGGATCACAGAGTAACTTCTGGGGTAACTAGAACTGTGGCATTGACTGTACCATGAAGAACAACCATCTGAGCTTTGGATTCACTGGCACCTAGAAGATTAATCAACAGAATCTCAGACAGCCCCAACCACACCTATTAGAGGAAAAGATGAATAGAAAAGGTAAGAACACACGCAATACCACAAAGAGCAACACAACACCAGTAAAACCTAAAGACCCTACAACAGCAAGACCTGAACAACCAAATATGGGTGAAGCAGAAGAAAATGACCTAAAAATAATTTCAGGAGAATGTTTGAAACTCTTAAAAAGGAAATGAAAAATTCCCTCAAAGAAATGGAGGAAAAGACAAACAAAAAGTTGGAAGACGTCAGCAAATCCCTTAAAGAAAACCAAGAAAAAGCAACCAAACATATGAAAGAAACTATTTGAGACTTAAAAACTGAAATAGAGACAAGAAAGAAAATACAAGCTGAGGGAATTATAGAAACAGATATCATGAGAAAATGATCATGAACCACAAACACAAGCATAAGCAGCAAAATACAAGAGATGGAAGAGAGAATCTCAAGTGCTGAAGATACAATAGAGGAAATAAGACTCATCAGTCAAAGAAAACATTAAATCTAACAAAAGCTTAACCCAAAATATCCAGGAAATATGGGACACCATGAAAAGGCCAATCTAAGAATACTAGCTATAGAAGCCGGAGAAGTAGTTCAACTCAAAAGCACAGAAAAATATATTTAACAAAATCATAGAAGAAAACTTTCCCAACATAAAGATATGCTTAAGAAGCGACAAGAAACTTACAGAACACCAAATAGACTGAATCAAAAAAAAAAGTCCCCTCACCACACAATAATCAAAACACTAAACATACAGAATAAAGAAAGAATATTAAGAGAGGCAAAGGAAAAAGCCAAGAAACATATAAAAGTAGACCTATCAGAATTACACCTGACTTCTCATTGCAGACGATGAAAGCCAGAAGGTCGTGATCAAGTGTTAAGTAGACATTAAGAGACCACGGATGCCAGCCCAGACTACTATACCCAGCAAAACTTCCAATCACCATAGAAAGACAAAACAAGATATTCTAAGACAAAACCAGATTTAACCAATACCTAGCTACAAACCCAGCCCTACGTAAAATACTTGAAGGAAAACTCCAACCCAAGGAAGTTGGCTACACCAACAAAAACACAGACAATTGATGGTCTCATAGCAGCAAATCCCAAAGAAGGGGAAAATGCACAAATTAACATAACCAACAATAAAAACTAAATTAATGGGAGATAGCAATCACTGGTCATTAATATTCCTTAATATAAATAGACTCAACTCACCTATAAAAAGGCACAGGCTAACAGAATTGTTAAGAAAACAGAATCCATCCTTCTTCTGCATAAAAGAAACACATCTCAACCGCAAAGGCAGACATTGTCTTAGAGTAAAGGGTTTGGAAAAAATATTCCAATCAAATGGACCTAACAAACAAGTGGGTGTAGCTATCCTCATATCTAACAAAATAGACTTCAAGCAAAAAATCAATCAAAAGAGACATAGAGGGTCATTTCATATTAGTCACAGGAAAAATTCATCAAGAGGAAATCTCGGGCTGGAGAGATGGCTCAGTGGTTAAGAGCACAGACTGCTCTTCCAGAGGTCCCGAGTTCAATTCCCAGCAACCACATGGTGGCTCACAACCATCTGTAATGAGATCTGGTGCCCTCTTCTGGCGTGCGGGCATACATGCAGGCAGAATGTTGTGTACATAATAAATAAATAAATCTTTAAAAAAAAAAAA